GCTGTTTCGTGCTGTGATGAGCTCTGAAACTTGACTGAAACTCTTCAAATGAACTATTTATCTGCAGAGGATCAGATTTACAGCAACTCTTACAAGAATTTTTTGAGATAAAAGGAAGGTTGCAGATTGGCCTTATCACGGTCCCTCAGTCCTGCCTGGCAGACGTTGTCAGGGTTTGTTTTTCTCTCTCTGCTTCAGTTTCTATCTCTCCTCTCTTCTATCTGTTATCACGTGTTGTTGTCTGTCGTATGGGGTGGTACTGATTTTGGGTTCCTACACTTGGCACTATACACCTGGGATAATCAACCACTTCTGGCCTAGGATCTTGTCAGCAGCCACTGCATAAGGTTGCGGTCAGCTGTTATTCATTGCTGTATTGTTGAACTACCTTGTTAGTTAAGCCTTGGTCCTAGCTTCTATTTTATACGTGTGTTTTTGCCTCAAAGGATCTGACCTTGTCTCCTTCCTCTGCACAGACTTTCCCTGGATTTCCTTCCCTGGAGTGGTGAGCCTGCCCGTTTTGAGAGTGTTGTACTGGAGAGAGAATTCGATGTTTTGAATACCCGTTTCCCCTTGGACCCCTTTAACTGCTTTCCCTTGCGCTGTTGTATATAGCACATTTTGGTAAAACACTGTAAATAAAGGGCACTAAACTTTAATTTGTCCAAATCCAGCATTTGAATCTACTCCAGCATTCATGACAGGCCTATAATTAGCCAACACAGCTGGGTCAAGTGATGGCTTTTTAAGTACAGCATAAGTACTATCAGCGTAAGGACTTGTGCTGGGTAGCCGATTGCGAGAGATTGGTCATATTTAAGATTGAAGCTTTAATTAATGGTAAGACTTGACTAAGGCGGACTTGTAGGAATGGGGTCACATTGATGGTTTTGCGAAATTACTAAAGTTAACTAAGAAAGACCAATTGTAGAAAAAAGGGCTAAATATATCTAAATGGTATTGAAAGTAGCTGTACATGTTGTTACAGCTGTGAGATTAGGAGTAATTCTTTTTCTCTAATGGTTAAAATTCTATTTGTGAAGAAATTCATGTTGTCTCTTGTTTTGGTTAAAGGAATGCTTGGCTCAAAGTAGTTCTGATTTTTTTCAGCATATCTACAGTGCTGAGGAGAAACCTAGGGTTGTTGTTTTCTCTGATTCTTCTTTAATCAGTGATGAATAGTAAGATGTTCTAACTTTATGGAGGGTTTTTTCTTTTTTGAGTGGAATGAAACGATTAGACATGAACCGTTGGTGGTGTACTAGGGGCTTCTGTTTAGGACTACGCTTCCATCAAACCATTACCCAGCAATCCTGTTTTCTTGGCTGCTTGGGACAATATGCTGGGTGAGTAATAATGGTGGCTATACTGCCCTTGACTGCACCAACTACAGGGGGCTGGCTAGCTACAGGATTTTTGGAGCAGGTCTCCAATTCAGTGATCCTGGCCTTCACAGTTGTTAAGAGGGTACATGTTTTACAAGAATCGTTATTACTAAAGAAGGAAAATGAGTAAATAAACCCATTACACACTGAACAGGAAGGTGCAAGAGAGGTGAATAGGCCATGCTGCAAGTCTGGTTGGAGCTAAGCTAGTGAATCACTAAAGACAGTGAATGAATCCTGTGAATATAATTAGCAGGTGATTCAGCAGAATGTGCTTTGTATGAAGCATGTGAAGATTACACTATGAAATACGACATTTTTAAGCACATTGAGGCAACTTTTGTTGTGAATTGGCATTATATAAATAAAATTAAACTCAGATAAAACAGCCTACACAGACGAGCAACAGAAAAACCCCACTGTGTGTTGGAACAGGAAGTGATACTGTAGAAAACCAACATCAAATGTGGCAGTTGTCCTGTTGGAAGTCATCTTGACAATTACTGACCCACTTTTAATCATGTGTCTTGTCACATGAGCTAAGGTGTGAAACCTCTGTAAGATATTGCCCCAGCCCACCATCATGTAAGCTACGGAGTCCTCTAACTTCTGGCAAGGTGAGAATAGGAATTGAAGCGCCTGAGAAGGGATCCCATGAATGCATTATAGGTGGCTGACCGCTGGTGTTGTAAACCACCACGTCCGGTCATTCACAGTAAATATAGATGGCCTGCTTTACACCTCTGACTGTCTTTGTGGTCCAAAATGTGAACACTGGCATTCTGGAAAAAGTTTCCTTCGTATTAAATGCTGTTCTGCTGCTCAGTCTGGTCTTGTCGAGGTGGAACTCCTATGTTGTACGATGCATTTGTGGAGTAGCCCTATAGTTTCTCCTCTATCAAAGGTCCAAGCTCTCCTGACTCCAGACTAGCAAACTGCCAAAACGTCTTTTACAGAGGTGATCACCAATTTGCTCTTAAATCCTATGGCAGCTGTAAGGATGTACCTATTATTATTATCATTATTATTCATTTTATATTAATTTTATTATTGTTTTTTTTTTTTGTTTTTTTTTTTGGGGGGGGGGCTTAATTTTTTTCAGCAATTAATAATACGTTATAATATGTATGGTATAATATGGTATATGGTATATACAGGGTGGGCCATTTATATGGATACACGGTAATAACAT